AGCGCATCCCTCATGCGCGGCGGCGCAGAGCGAGGGCCAGTTACCTGCCGGCCTGCCGAGATGGATGGCGGCAAGCTAGCGTCCGCTATTTCCATGGAATCGCTCAATTCCGTCAGCACTGAGTCCTGCTCACAGGTTCGCACTCTGTTCGTTTCGGGGCTGCCGATGGATGCAAAACCTCGCGAGCTCTATTTGCTATTTCGTGCTTATCGCGGCTACGAGAGCTCACTGCTAAAAATGACGGCTAAAAACGGCAAACCGACTTCGCCGGTGGGTTTCGTGACGTTTCAGACGAGCAAGGATGCAGATGATGCTCGCAAGGCACTGCAAGGAGTGCGTTTTGACCCGGACTGTGCGCAAGTGCTTCGTCTTGAACTTGCCAAATCGAATACGAAGGTCAGTCGGCCGAAACAGTCACCACCACCCGTTATTCCTATCGCTGCCCCCTCCCTACAGACGATGCCTCAATTTCTGGCCCCTCTACAACCTGCAGAAGCCATAGTTCTCGATCAGCACCCTTTACTTCTGGACCAACATCAGCTGCTTTCTCTCAGTCTTCCTCGATTTCCCGCCACTGCTCAATCTCTGCCTTTTGCTGGTATTCTGCAATCTGATGGCGCCTATCACCAGAATGCTGCTATATTTCAAGCTTTGGGGCTAGGGGCTCAAAACCCGGCGCTTCAGGGTTGTTCCACACTGTTCGTCGCGAATCTAAGTCCTGGGGTCACCGAAGACGAGCTGCGATCTGTATTCAAGGCATTCGCTGGTTTCACACGACTTCGAATGCACACGAAGAACGGTTCCTCGGTGGCTTTCATTGAGTACTCGTCGTTGGCTTCGGCAACGAGTGCGATGATGGCCTTACAGGGATTCCAGCTCGGCTCTTCCGAACGTGGTGGTTTGCGGATTGAGTACGCCCGCAATAAGATGGCTGACGTGAATGGTTGAGTAGTTTGAATTCATTCTTTCTTTGTTTTATTTTACATTAGTTCATGCTATATTTCTCCTATTTTATACATCTCTTAGCATTTCGTGTAGCATTTGCATCGCATCATACCCTATCGATTCGTTTTACCTGTTCCGGTAATCGATCGGCCAGCACCCATTGGAAGAAATCACACCGATCGGTTGTCGACGTCCTTGTGTATGTGTGTACTTTTCTTATACTTCTACGAGATGCCCACTTATTTCCGTTAAGTT